ATTGAGAGAGAGAGAGTGTGTGTGTGTGTGTGTATATATATGTATATATATATATATATATATATATATATATATGCTCAAGGACACTTATGAGATAAACTCTGCCCTGATTTGTGGGGTGTAGAGTACACCAGTAAGGTCACACGTAGGAGGAAGAGTCAAAGGTCAAAGGGCTGGGAAAGGCAGGCATGGTGACATACACCTTTAATCCCAGTACTCAGGAAGCAGAGACAATCAAATTTGAGTTTGAGGCCAGCCTGGGCTACATAGTGGTCTTGTATTAAGAGTGGGAAATGGAGCCGGGAGGTGGAAGTAGCACACTCCTTTAATCCCATCACTGGAGAGGCAGAGGCAGGTGGATCTCTGAGTTTGAAACCAGCCAGGGCTACAAAGAAAAAAGTGGGAAATGGCTCTAAGCAGAAATGGGGGAAGGTGGGATGTGGAGGTTGGAAGCCAAACTTGGGCTCCCAGATGGAGTCTGAAGGACCTGAACACGGTCCCCAGGCCTAATTTCATGAGACATTGCATGTGCTGTCAGCCTCCCCATTCGGATAGTGCTCAGGTGTGTGGTAGTCCCTAGTATGCAGAGCTGGGTCACACGGGCCTCTCCAGTCTCTAACCTGACCACCTTCACTCTGCTCTCAGGTGGCTGTAACCTTTGGCCTGGGGCCGCTGCAGGAGCGGTGCATAGCCTTCATAGAGGCTCACAGCCAGGTACAGTTCCCACCATTATTATTCTTGTAGTCTGTCTTCCCTATGCCACTCTTCTCTGCTCTGATCAAATACACCGATCCATAGGAGGCTCTACGCACCCGCGGCTTTCTGGAGCTATCCGCCAGTGCGCTGCTGCCCGTGCTACGCAGTGACAAGCTCTGCGTGGACGAGGCGGAGCTGGTCAAGGCAGCCCGAAACTGGGCGCGCGTGGGCGCCGTGAGTGGGACCTGGGGGAGGCGAGGGCGAAGCGGCGGAAGCCGCAGGAACTCGGCAAGCGGACTGCAGGGCACAGGCCGCCGCTCCGCCGGGGCTCAAGGTTCGCTTCCACAGGCGGTGTTGGAGAGACCGGTGGCCGAGGTGGCGGCTCCAGTGGTTCGAGAGCTGAGACTGGCCTTGCTGGCCCCGGCGGAGTTGAGCGCCCTGGAAGAGCAGAACCGACAGGAGCCGCTCATCCCGGTGCGGACGCGAGTACCCGGGCTCAGATCCACTCTGCCACGTGGGGATGAGGAGCCAGGGCCCTTGCCAGGGGACTTCGGACTGCATGGTGACCCTCCTTCTCCTACAGGTGGAGCAGATTGTGGAGGCGTGGAAGTGCCATGCCCTACGGAGAGGAGATGCGGCCAGGGGCGCACCGTGCAGGCGGCGAAAGGGAACCCTGCCCCGGGATCACCACCGTTTTCTGGACCTTCGTTTCAAATGATCCACTTCCGGAACTTGGGAGGCATTTGATCACACTCCAAACTACAGCTCCCGAGGTGCTCTGCGCCCGAGGCAGGCTTCCGCCCCCAGCAAGCCCTGCGAGCCGGAGGCCGGAAGGACCTTGTAGGGGCGGGCCAGTGCCAGTGGACCCAAGGTTGGAGTCGTGTCACGGGCTCGGGCGACGCCCCGAGGCCGGAAGCGAGGGTGGCATCTGTTCCATGAGCTCACACCGCATCCTGCTGCCCGTCACTCCTCTGTCCCTCCATTCGATTGACGCTGTTATCTATTTAGCGTATCTCCCTTAACAACAAATCAGCTTCCTGGCTCCAGACTCAGCGCGGAGCTTCTCTTCTCCTCTCTCCCGGTCCCGTAAATACTGTTTCTCATTTCGGCGGGTCAGGAGCCAGGATCTCATTCTTGTTTACCTCATGCCCTTTCTCCCTTCCAGTAGTACTTTCGAGTTGGTTTAGTCTGCAACCTATATTCTGTCACTTTTGAGGATCTTTTTCTGTCATTACCCTGCCAGTGCTCTCTCACTCCTCCCCCGCCCCCGCCCCAGTGCACTTTGCATCCCTGTGACGGTCCCATCGTTGTAATTGTCACGCCCTTCCCTGAGTCCTTCAGCATCCTTAACGGCATTCTAGGACAAGGTACTAAAGTTTCTAGATGTTTAGCGGTTCTTAACACTGAGTTTGGGAGTTCCAGAATTAACTTTTTTGGGGGGTAGGAGGTGGGTATTCTCTCACTGTGTAACCCCAGCTGGCCTAGAACTCACTTTGTAGGCCAAACTAGCCTTGAACTCACAGAGCTCCGACTGCCTCTGCCTCCCTGGTATATATTAAAGGCATGTGTACTATTCCAGCTAAATTAAAAACAACAACAAAAAAGCTGGACAGTGGTTGCACACGCCTTTGATCCCGGCACTGGGGAGGCAGAGGCAGGCGGCTCTCTAAATTTGAGGCCAGACTGGTCCGCGGAGCAAGTACCAAGACAGCCAGGGCTACACAGGGAAACCCTGTCTCGGAAAATTAAAAACAAAACAAAACAACCCACAAAAACCTCTTAAAGAGATGGGAAAGAATCATCTTAACTCTGTTGCTCAGGCTATTCTGGACTTACTGGGCTGAAAAGGTTCCGCCTCAACACCCCCACCTTCAGTGAAATGGAACTACTGTAGTATTAGATGTATATTATTTATTTATTTTTCCAAGAAAAACCACCACTGCCTGGCTCCTAGCAAATAATTTTAAAGGAGTCGTAAAGCAAGATTTAAAAATGAAGGACAGTGGACGATATAAAAGAAAATAAAATTATAATTCTGGGGCTGGAGAGATGGCTCAGAGGTTAAGAGCATTGCCTGCTCTTCCAAAGGTCCTGAGTTCAATTCCCAGCAACCACATGGTGGCATCTGTTCCATCTGTAATGAGGTTTGGTGCCTTCTTCTGGCCTGCAGGCATACATGTAGACAGAATATTGTATACAAAATAAATAAATATTAAAAAAAAGAAAAATTATAATTCTGACATATAAAAATGTTTGCTTATGAATTAAAGATGTCTATTTGTATTCTCCCTCAAGATTGAACAGGTGGCTCCCCAGTGCCACCCAGTGGGTACCCTTGTTTGGGTAGTGAATGCTGAAAGGAATTTGCTGCTTGCATGCCTGTAATTCTCTTGCTTTTGGTTACTTTATTCTACACCAACTTTCGAGGCCATGATGAAAACGGCCTTCTAAATTGTCAGAAGCTTGGAAATCCTTCATGTTTCTTGAATCCAACAATCCTTCATTTGAGGCCAGAACACTCAATTTCTCATGCAGGCAGACTGCTGTCTTCTGAAAATGTGTTCATGAGACAAGCATAGCGTGGTGGAATAGGCCTGTAGGAGGAAGCACTCAGGAAGTGGATATAGGATCAGCAGTTTGGGGCCAGCCTAGGTTAGTTACATGATGAGACCTGGAGAGTTGGCTCAGCGGTTAAGAGCATTGGTTACTGGCTGTTCTTCCAGAAGTCCTGAGTTCAATTCCTGTAACCATCTATAATGAGATCTGGTGCCCTCTTCTGGCCTGCCAGTCTACCTGCAGGCAGAATACTGTATACATCTTTAAAATAAATAAACGGGGCGTGTTGTCACACACCTTTAGTCCCAGCACTGAGTCATATCTCCTGCCTCAACTATCCCAAGTGATAGAATTAATGACAGGTAATTAGTGACAGGCATGGACCACCACACCCCAGATTCTACATTCAAACCTCTGTGAAAGAGAAGAAAAAACAAGGCTTCCAAAATTTGATTATGAGCTGGGTGTGGTGGCTCATATCTGTAATCCTAGCACTGGGAGCTGGACAGCTTTGCCTGCTTCCAGACACCTGGAACACAGAATGAAAGGCTTTCCAAAGACAAGCAAACTAGAGAGCGGTGGTGATGCTGGAGAGAAGGCTCAGCTGCTCTGGGAAAAGTCCAGAATTCAATCCCTAGAGTTCAATCTCTAGGACCTGTCAGGTAGCTCGCACACACCCGGAACTCAAGCTCCAGGGGCTTTGATGTCTCTAGTCTCCATAGGTGTCTGAATGCCACATTCACAAGCCCCCACAGACATTATTAAAAATAAGGTAAATCTGAAAGAAAAAAATGTTGGCTCAGAAGTGTTCCACTTCATGGAAATGTTTGTGTGAAAGATGAAAGAGGTCAGTGATACGAAGAAAAACCAGAGGATGGGTGTGTCCTTTTGTTTCCAGCCTCCCAGAGGTTCAGTGCCTCAGCTGCACGGTGTAGGTTAACACATGTGTGTTTCCTGCAAGTCAGCTGTATCCTACGATCATGATTGTGATCCATCCTCAGGGCTGGAACTCAAGCACAGTGAAACGGTCTGCTCTTGATGCACCACAGGCTTGCAAATGAGAAGGCCTCTGCTGGGCTGTGGGATGTGGGTGGGCAGAACTGATCAAGAGGAAGCTGTGGATCCTAGCCCACTGCTCTCCCTGCTTCTCTGCCTGGGACCTTGCTCTGTCTTCCCTCGTGCGATCTGGGATTGCTAAGTTATTGGCCCCAATGCTTGGGTGACTGTTTTGTTGTTCCAGACTGGTAGAGCACCCCCAGTTTCAGATTGAGCAGCCCAGCTCAGCACTCAGCAGCAGGACCACAGGAGGCGTGTTTCCACCCCTCTGGCAGTTGTCATCCAGGTTATCAGACAGGGTCTTTTTCAGACAGGGTCTCTCTATATAGTCCTTGCTGTCCCAGAACTCACTGCATAGACCAGCTGGCCTTGAACTCACAGAGAGCCACCTGTCTCTGCCTCCTGAGTTCTGGAATCAAAAAAGTATGTTACCATGTCTGGTTCTAGGTTTTTTTTGTCTTGTTTTGTTTTGTTGTTGTTTTTGTTTGTTTATTTGTTTGTTTTGAGACAGGGTTTCTTTGGGTAGCTTTGGTGCCTGTCCTGGAACTAGCTTTTGTAGACCAGGCTGGCCTTGAACTCACAGAGATCTGCCTCTGCCTCCCCGAGTGCTGGGATTAAGGCCTGTGCCACCACTACCACCTGAGTTGTTTTGTTTTAGAACAGTGTCTCACTCTGTTCTAAAGACAGCTTAGGCTGGTCTCAAACTCACAGCGATTCTCCAGCCTCAGCAAGGCTGAGATTCTCAGTGTGAGTTGCCACACTCAGTAGCATCTGGTTCCTTTTGAAGGATGATCGGGCTGAGGACAAGGGAAGCTGAGGAAGAGCCTAGGCAGAACCTAGGGAATGCCAAGTTCAAAGTTATGGTGACACAAACAATAGTGGCTCATTCTTGTCCAGAAAGTGGAGTGTGTTTTAAAGAGGCTCTGTCTGGTAGTGGAGGCTAGCCCTAGTGGAGCCTGGAATGGGATTAGACTTGATTTACGGCATGGGGAGCCATGGAAGGGTGCTAAGCCAGAGGGTGGAGTAGGGCTAGGTGCTACACAGGGTGAGCTCACTTTACAAGCAGTATGGGACTTCTCACCTCAGGCTGGATGAGGTCAGTGGCCAAAACCGACTGCGCCTGGGGCGGTTCAGCTCTGACTGGATCCATTCAGTGACACCCGTGACACCCTCATTCCTCAGGACTGCACGGATCATGCAGTCAGGGTAAGAACTTTCAACACAGCTGTGAACAATGTTCCTAAAAGGAAGCGCTCCTCCTGCAAGGCTGACTAAGCGATCAGAACCTCCATGATGTGCCGAGGTTGGAATGCTACGTCTGGAGCCAAAGGATCTCGGGACATCTTTGGCCCCACAATAGCCATTTATCGTCCTCTGTACATGACATCACACCTTTGTGCTGCCACCTAAGAACTCTGCCAGCATCCGAGGCCTGTAGCAGTTCTCCGGCTTTGTGATTACCAGGCTACCTAAGGTTCCTACCAATGTGGGTTGCCACTGCCGGCTTTACATTATTTTGGTGTTTTTGTTTGTATGTGGCATGTGTGTGTGTGTGTGTGTTTTTTCCCTGATACAGGGTTTCTCTGTAGCTTTGGAGCATGTCCTGGAACTAACTCTTGTAGACCAGGTTGGCCTCAAACTCACAGAGATCCGCCTGCCTCTGCCTCCCGACTGCTGGGATTAAAGGCCTGCGCCACCACCGCCCAGCATGCGTGTGTTTTGTTGTTATTGTTGTTTTATTTTTTTCAAGACAGGATTTCTCTGTGTAGCCCTGGCTGTCTTGGAACTCACCCTGGCCTCAAACTCTGACCTTCACACTAGAAACATAGCACATACACACCCAACTATCTACCTATACACTAATGTTATAAAATAATAAGAAAGGCAGCATTTCATATAGCCCAGGCTAACCCCAAACCCAAGTGGCAGAGGATGGCCTCTGATCCTACCACCCGAGTGCTGGGATTACAGGTCTTCATCACTATGTCACTAACTTTAATTCGTTTAAGGCATTTTAGTATGGATTGAGCTGCAATGTGTTTTGTCTGTGTGTGACGTTTGGTTGGACCATGATATTCCGACCTTTGTATGTGTGGGTGAGGTGTGAGAAGGCAGTGTGCCTGGGTGGGATCGTTCCTGGTGAGTGGCGGCTGGAACGCAGGGAGTCTGTCCATCAGGGGTACCGGGGGAGGGGGAGGCTCTGGCCGCAGCCCAGGGCTGTGTCTAGGCTCTTCAAGGCCTCTGTGCAGCAGGGCTGGTCAACTCTTCACCGCCAGGAGCTTAAATCAGTGGGGTTATTAGCTTGGGCATCGACATCCTGGGGACAATCTCCCACATGGTTAGCTGGCCAAAGACAGTTTCCTGCCTCCCAGCCACCGCTGTGGGTGCACAGCAGTCCTGCCATGGAGGTTGCTTGGGCCAGGGCTCCTTCCACAAACCTCCTAAAATAGCATCCTTGGCCCTGCTTCCTCCAGCTCTTCAGCTGGCCATTTTGCTGACCTTTTATTTCATCATGCCTTCCTGGATTTGCCCCTCCCTTGCATACTGAAGGAGCAGGGAGCCGGAAGATGAGTCTGGAGAGGTAGGTGTGCAGGATTGGAATGCCAAACGAACACTGAGGATTGCATAATTTTCTATATTAAGCCTTTTTTTTTTCTGAGACAGGGTTTCTCTGTAGCTTTAGGATCTGTCTTGGAACTAGCTCTTATAAATCAGGCTGGCCTCAAATTTACAGAGATCTGCCTGCCTCTGCCTCCTGAGCGCTGGAATTAAAGGCGAACACCACTACCGCCTGGCTATGCTAAGAATTTTTTAAAAATAGATTTCTAAAACACAGTATAGGGCCCTGATCATCTGCAAATACTGGGTCGGTGTGTCACACCTATCCAGCTGTCCTCACATGGGCAGACAGGAA